GCAGCGTGGGCGGGGGGGGCGTGGTACTAGCTGCTGCCCGCCGCCTGCCCGCGCGCGGGGTTATGCGAGGTAACAGCGAGCCGGGAGGAGGAGGGAGGCGGCGGGGCCGCGGGCCGGGGTGTCTGGCGCTTGTTGGACAAAGAGATGAAACGTGAGCGCTATATTTACCAAGGGGGTGGAGACGGGGCGGGAGGGGGCTCAAAAGGACAAAGTGTTCCACAACAACCACAGGAAACACAGCCCTTCTGACTCACCGGGAGGGCCGCGCCGACCCTCTTCGCGGGTTTAGCCCGATCGCAGGCGATGGGCCGGAGGGCCGGGCACCGCACCGAACCTGAGCGCCACGACTGGGGATGGGTGGATTTATAGATAAACGCACATTGGACCCAAGGGCTGAGAGCGTGTGCGTGTGTGTGTGTGTCTGTTTTTTGGGGGGGAAGGGAGAGCACGGAATGGCAGGAATGTTTTCTAACCCCGTGGCCGGGCCATCGCGGGAGATATTTGCCTGCAAATGCTGAGAGCAGATTCCTGCAAAGTCATCTCCACCCGCACAGCCCCGCCGGCCGGCCCGCCCCGCCCGGGGACAGCAGCACCCGCCTTCCCCTCTCTCCCCACCCCCGCGCCCTGCTCGCGGCGCTCAGAGTTGGGGTGCGGTGAGGGCTATGTTTAGAAGCTGATGTCATCTCGACACCCTACTCCGCAGTCTTCCCAGGGGGACCGCCGGGCAGGTTTTCCTCTTCCTCGCGGGCGTGGGTGAGGGAAGGTGGCCTGCCATCTCTCCAACACACCTCACACCCATCGTACCCGGGAGATTTAAAAAAAAAAAAAAAGCCACGCCAGAGTTATGAAACAGGATGGCGGGGGGGGTGCGGGGGGTACGCGCACGCGGAGGGTGCAAACCCACGGGCTAGGCCCGCAAAAGGCCACCAATCCGCCTCCGTCCTCCCACCTCCTCCAGCCCAGGTGCCGAGTTAATTTCAAGGTTAGCTCACGTGGGCGCAGGCGCCCGGAGCTCCTTTGCACGAGTTTGGGGCGGGTTCCTCATCCCCCAATCTAGGGCAGTTTGTTCAACTGCAGTAAAGGGAGCTAGATGTTCCAGCTGGGAAGGGATTTCTGAGAACTGGGACTGTCCTCAGATGAACTCGCCTCCTCCGGCTGCTGCGGCGGCGACCGCCTGCGGAAGACTTTTTAAAAGGGCGATGCCAGGCCGGTCCGCGCGGCCCGCAAATGGCTGAGCCGCCCGCCAGTCTTGCGGCTGGAGCCGAGCGCCCGCCCCGAGCGCGGGTGATTCACCCAGCCCATGCGGGACTGCTCGGAGCGCAGGGGGCTGCAAACTAAACTTAGCCTTCTGCATATGTATGAACGGGTGGCCTTTCTGCTCTGCAAAGGAGAGGGCTGGAGTTTTGCAGAGGGTTGCTAAGTGGAGCGAGAGTAAAGTAGGGCGTCGTGCAAGTTTTTGTCCCTGTTCGAGCTCCCTTCCCCCTCCAGCCACTGGGTGGTAACTCATAATGGCCATGGGCGTTTCACCAGATCGTGCTGTAGCTGAGTGCTTCAAATCCAAGAACATCGCCATTGTTGGAAGCCTGATTCCTTCGGCCACGCCTCTTCCATTCCCAAACTCGCCACCTTCCCTAATTCCCCTGCTTTCACTAAAATGAGCGCTGTCTCCCCTTACCCCAATATGTCCTGTGTGCCTAGAAGAGGTCGCAGAAGCTGGAGGGCTCTGGCCCTGAAACGGGAGGGACAGGCCTGGATCCAGCCCAGAGTGAGGTCTGACACGTGATCCCCTACCCCCAGCGGGCCATCTGTTCTCCTTCCTTCCCGCCAGGAGGCTGGCAGCTCTGCCCGGCACGGTCCACGCCTCCCAGCAGGAAAGAGTGAGAAAAGCCAGAATGGGCAGAACCCAGTTACCAACAGCGTGAGATTTTAGCCTAAACTTTTCTGGGCCTGAACAGGGATGGTAACTGGCGATCTGTATTTTAAACTGAGTGCCAGGTCATTAGCTCCACCCCGCAAGGTGGAGAAACCTTGCCCTGGGCTTGAATTAAAGTCTCCAGGGGAGGGCCTGGGATTCTGAGCAGCATTGTCCCGGAAATATCTTACTGAGGTCCAGTAAAAGGTTTAGAATCTAAGCCTCCAGGCCAGTTCCTACAAACCAGTTTAAGAAGGAAAAAAGTGACACCATGAAATTAAGGAAGGAGGGATTTTGAACAAATTTATATTTGTGCCTGCCTTCTCATTAAATATTGATTTAAAGTTGCCATAAAGAGCAACGTGTAGTTGAAGTGGTATTTAAAGTCTTGCTCCAGTTTTTTCCCCTTGAGTGTGAGGAGTTTGGAAGGGACTATGAAGATGTATTAATCTAATCCTGTCAGTTCACAGATAAGGAAATAGCTCAGGCTGACAGAGGTCATGATACTCATCTTAAGGCAGTTCTCCACATTGGCCAACATCAGCTAACCCAACTCAAAGATCTGCCTGTACTCTAGGCCACTGGCTCTTACCAGAGGCCATAATTATCTTAGGATGCATACAAACCAGGTTTGTAGTTTTGGCTACAGGCCCACAGCCATTGTTTTGAGAACCTGGATAATAAAGCAAAGGCTTAGACAGAACATAAAGAGGAAAACATAAACTAGAAGCACAGTTACAGTCTTTGAATTTTCTTCCTCTCAATTGGTTTGTGTGGATTTGAAATGTGTATTTATGAAGACTTAACTTGGAGAAAGCAAACCTCTTACATGGCATAATATATACTTTAGTGGTAAATTATTCATTTTAATTAGAAATAAGCTATATTAATTTGGAATATTTTGCCAAAATTTAATTGAGACAACCACATGCTGGCAAAACAGCAGAAGCTGGTTTTAATCATGAAAGTGTTGTAATATATTCCAACACAACAAGGAAGCCTGTTGAAATACAAGAAAAAATTCTGATGTGGGAATTACATATATATTACATGTATTACATATATATATATTTGATTTTAACATGTAAGTCTCCTACAGGACAGTTTGTTTTGCTTTTCTATACCCCCATGCCTAGCTCATTGAGAAAGGAGAGTTCTACAATTCTATAATTGGTGAGTTTGAAAAGATCTCTGAATCACTTCAGACAGCAATTATGTTTGTAAATGCGTAAGAGAAATTCACATGGCTGAAATCTTATAAAGAAATGTATGAGTCAGAGAATTCAGGGTTTATGTCCAGTCCAAACAAAGTGAAATTAAAGGAATTAAAGAGAAGAGAGCCAGGAATAAGGGAGGGAAAAATTGTTTTCGTTTTTTTTTTTAAACCCAAGGTAATCTCTGTATTTAAATTCTTGGATTACAATCTTTAAGGAAAGATAAGGACCTTTCACCTTTCCTATCTGTAGCCACCCAGGCCCAGGCCCCTGAAGTCTTTTTCCCTAGTATAACAGCAGTTAAAATTCAAGTCTGGGAGGCTTGTAAGGACCATGACCTTGCAGATCCTGAAAAATCCCGTTAGTACTTGTGCTGAGCCTTACAGAGACAAGCAAAGGCATAACTTCTAAGTGTTCATGTACCCTAGGGGACAGACTTGGCCCTACAAAAATCATGAAGTAGGCAAATCCCCTTGGGCTTCAGTTCTCTCTCTCTCTCTCTCTCTCTCTCTCTCTCCTCTCTCTCTCTCTCTCTCCTCCTTCTCCTCTTCTTCTTTCTTCTGCTTCGAGTCTCACTAGGTAGCCCAGGCTGTCCTCAAACTTTCATCTTCCTGCTTCATGCTAGAATTACAGATATATGCCATCATGTCTGGCTCCAGTGAGTTCTTTTTTTTTTTTTAATTCAGGAGGTTTGAATACAAGAACTCTAAGATGGCTTTACTATGATACACTTACCTCACAGGGTTATTGTAAAGGTGCAAGCAGAGAGCTCAGTCCCACCCAGGCCTGGCACAGAGTATGTCCTCCCTGAAAGGGGGTGGGACAATGATGTGATGGTGATGATGTCCTTGGTTGACTAGGATCACCTTTCTACAATTTCCTTCCCCCATGCATTCACCTACCACAATATCTTCCCCGTACCACTTTAAAAGTCCAAATAAACTGTCTTAGCCTTCAAATGAGAAGGGTTTGTTTAAGACCCTTCCCTTGGAGACCAAGTACCTGCTGTAACCTTACCAAGTCTTAACAAAGTTCAGCAGTGAGTGGGAGTTAAGGTTGGATCTCACAGAATGGATATCTCATAGAAACAGGTACTTCTCACAGACAAGAAGGTGAATGTATTTTTAATCAGCTGTGCCCACAGTATGCCTCCTGCCAGGGACACTAGCCCTAGATTCTTTTCTCAGCTATCAAGATGGAAAACAACCCATCAGAGGGAGAAGCAAACCGAGAAAACCAGACTCCAAGATCCACACTAATTGTTGATCAGGTAATGCCACAATGTTCAATGGCTATGAACCACCTGCTGGCTGCAGTCCTTAGGAATCTGTTTAGCACAGTTAATATTTCACAAAACCATGTGGCTTAGTTGTAAAGCACAAAGAGCCAGAAACCAGACTGGTGGTTTCTATTGGGTTCTGTCATTCTCTTCCTGGTAAGGTATACAAGTCACTTCTCTGTATCTTAGTCTCCAAATTTTAAAGCAAGAAAAAGGAAATATGTCCTGACAATCATATGAGGGTCTCTGAAAAGAAAGTGGTGCTTTTTAAAAAAGTTATACAAATGAGGGATTTTTTTCTCCATTTACCTGAAAGTGGGTTAAAATAGCTTCCAAACGAAATTAAAATAACTTACTTAGTTGTTTGATAACTGGTTCAATCAATTGCACCAGGGAAGTAGGAGGGGTATGGTAAAATACAAAGATGGGGAGTTTCAATGTAAGAATCACTGGATTAAAACTATGCTTTAAAACCAGAACTTGTATTAGCTCTGAATGTTTCGGATGAATTGCTCGTAGTTAATGTATTGTATGGGAGAACTTTTCAACATCTGCTCCAAAGTATGCTGGATCCAAAAAAAATAAAACACTTGTCCTGACATATTGAGGATTTTTTAAATTATGGATTTACACTACAGTTATTAATCACCCCTGATCTCCCATCCAGATCTCAATCTTACTACCAGCAGCACAAAATGCAAAGATGTGTCCAGTTTTCACTACAGCTCTGAGCGTTCACAAGTGTGGAGCGCTAGCTTTCGGAACGCCCTTCTCATTGGCTGAGCCAATGCAAGTGACATCAACCAACTTACTTTTGATTGGAAGGCTGGTTGCTGGGACTGTAGCGTTTGCAGGAAGTCACTTAACTATTTGCGGGCTGGAAAACTGAAGCTGAGTTGTCTTTTTGTCAACCGAACGGGCGCAACTGACTAGGGGCGAGGTATCCCGAAGCCCCGCAAGCTGAAACGTGAGCGGGGAAGGTTTGGAGTGGTGCTCGGACCGGGTGGCCCCCGCGAAGATGCGCGGCCACTGCTTCCCTGCCTCCCGGCTGTTACCCTTTTAAATGTCAGCGCTGGGGGCTGTAGGGGGTAGCACGAGGCAGCGGAACGGAACAGTCGGATTGGCCGCACGCCTCGGTTCTAGACGCACCTCTCCACCGAAAAGCCCTTCTGACTGGCAGGGGGAGAAAGTAAACAGAGTTGAATCACTCTCCCCAATGGCCAATTGGAGGGGGTTTGGATTGTGACGTGATGGGATTCTGCGAAATTGTTACTGAGCAAGAGAATGCCGGAACGGTGCGGACCGGCAGAAGCAGGGGCTTAGAAGCCGTCAGTGGAGTAGGGGAAAAGTGTCTCTTAGACTCGGCGCTCCTTCCGGCCCTGGCCACCCGCGTCGGGGTGGTCATCTAAATGTCCTGGGGCTTTGGCTCGACGGAGAGGCGGCCGAGGGCGTGTACCTCTCTTGCAGTTTCCTCTCCCAGCGCCTCGGGGGCGTTTTCAGTCGAATAAACTTGCGACCGCCACGTGTGGCATCTTTCCAAGGGAGCCGGCTCGGAGGGCAGAGCAGGGAGCGCCCGTCGGGGGATCGCGCCCGGCGCGGGGCAGGGCGGCGGCGAGAGCGGCGGCGCGGCGGAGCCGGGCGGTGGATGCTGCGTGCGGAGGCGCTGCCGGTTACGTAAAGATGAGGGGCTGAGGTCGCCTTGGCGCTCCTGCGAGTCGGAAGCGCCCGCGCCCCCGCCCCCTTGGCCGCGCCGAGCCGCGCCGCGCTAGTCGTCCGAGGCCAGGGCAGGGCGAGCCGAACCTTCCGCAGCCACAGCCAAGTTTGGCCGCGTCGCCGGGAACTGCTGTCGCCCGCACCATGTCCGCGGCCGCCTACATGGACTTCGTGGCTGCCCAGTGTCTGGTGTCCATCTCGAACCGCGCTGCGGTGCCGGAGCATGGGGTCGCTCCGGACGCCGAGCGGCTGCGACTACCTGAGCGAGAGGTGACCAAGGAGCATGGTGACCCGGGGGACACCTGGAAGGATTACTGTACGCTGGTCACCATCGCCAAGAGCTTGTTGGACCTGAACAAGTACCGACCCATCCAGACCCCCTCGGTGTGCAGCGACAGTCTGGAGAGTCCCGATGAGGATATGGGATCCGACAGCGACGTGACCACCGAATCTGGGTCGAGTCCTTCCCACAGCCCGGAGGAGAGACCGGATTCTGGCAGCGCGCCCAGCCCGCTCTCCCTCCTCCACCCTGGAGTGGCTGCGAAGGGGAAACACGCCTCCGAAAAGAGGCACAAGTGCCCCTACAGTGGCTGTGGGAAAGTCTATGGAAAATCCTCCCATCTCAAAGCCCATTACAGAGTGCATACAGGTTAGCGGCGTCGCCTCTCCCCGCGCTCTGGGGTTATTAACCTTTGGCGGGGCAGCGCTCAGGACACCGCACTCGGCGTACAGGGGGCAGACCTTTTGGATAAGATGCTCTTTCTAACTCTTTCGCTCTGTTCTTAATTGTCCCCAACCTTTAGAAGCCTCGGGGAGCCTTAAACCTGCCGGCAGAGTGAGTGCGCTGCGTGGGCTCGGAGGGGAGTGGGGGGCCGCCCCTCCCCAGAGCCGCCCCGCCCCCGGGGCGCCGCACTGTTGGGGACGCCCCACCTGGGAAGATGCTAGCGGCAGGGAATCGGATGGCGTATCTTTTATTTCCCTCCTTTGTGGGGTTGCAGCGAAGTGGTAGGAAGCTGGGAGGGGAGCGGCACACTTGTCCACGGGAGCCTTTTAGGGATGACTAAGGACTCATTTCCCTGGATGCCGGCTACTTTTCAGGGTTTGCCAAGGTGGTTTTAAATTTGGCCAAGAGTCCCTTGAGAGGTTTAAAATAACACTGCTTCAGGCATCAGGGGAGTTTGATAAAGAAATAATTGGTGGGTTAACTTTAGGAACATTAGGAAGGCAATGATGGAAAGTTCAGACCTGACTTTTTCCTACGTGACTTAGCACCCTCGACCCCTACTACGTAGAGTGGTTAGGGTGGAGGTGTGGTCCTTGCCTTGCAGGAGATCAAGGCCCCTCAACGAATGTAGGGTGCTTCTGAAGGCTGCTGTGGCTCCAAGGGAGGCCAAGTTGCAGAGCTGGAGCAGGGATGTTGCTGGAAAGATATATGCTGTGTAAAATAGGCTTCGGGAACTTTCTGGGGACCTTGGTCAGCCAGCTATGTGGCTCTAGTTTATATGCACAGAGAAAGTTGGAAAGTGCTCACATGTGGACGTGCTGCCTGACCATCTTTAGAAAGGTTCTTGTGTAACTGCTGTTCTGATAAGGTACCAGGAGCCTGGTCCTCTCCCAATGGTGCCTTTTCCCTGTGTCCTGTGACACCCATGCTTAAGAGGGTTGTTGGAGTTACTTGGAAAGGGACATCGTTTTTTGATGTAATGGTCTGATGTTTTGAAGAAAAGATCCTGGACCTTTGGTCTCAGTGGTACTCAGTTGGGAGTTTTCTGTTTTATTTTGCTTTTAAAAACAAAGGCCATGTAACTGTCTCTCATTTTTTATTTCCTTTGGAAAGTGATTCTTGTGGAGGTACCTGCTGACACCGAAATAAATGTGAATTTCCTCCGTGGTTAATGCAAAATCAGGTTCTGTTTGGGATCAGCATCTAGCTTGCCATATAAAACAGCACCTTTTAAAGTGTATCTGTGGGTTGAGGAAAGGCATGTGCCCACATTGGGGCATGTGACCTTCAGCGAGAACTGGGGGTGAAGTAGAGGTATATTAACAGAGGGTGTTACTCACCAACAGCTGTTGGGCGGGCCTGGCCATGTCAGCCATGTTCCCAGAGTTCAGTTGTTCCTGTCCACACACACACTGCCACCTTGAGCAAAGGCATTTTCTCCTTCAGGGATCTGCCCAGCAGTGCAGCTGGGGAGGCCTGCAGTGCCTGGGTGAGCTACCAGGTCTGTCTGAGTCAGGAGTGGGGTTTCCAGGGTTGTGGGCCTTGCAGCTGAGTGCTCTTCTGGGGCATTTATAGAAATGGCTGCTTATGTGTGTGTGCATGCGTGCTGCTCTTCTCCATAAGGCAAGTCGGCTCAGCTATTTCACAAAAACCTTTTTTACACAGTCCAGAGTGGGAAGGGAAGTGAAATAAATGTTCATTCCATTTTAAATGCTACACTCATTCTTTTGAAACTAGTGCTATGGTGATTGCAGATGCCTTTTTATGATTTGGTTTTTTTGGGGGGTGGGGAGGGAGAGGGATCTCTATCATACCAGTATAAGGTTGGACAGAACCCCCAGCCTCTAAATTTAGCCAGAAGCACATTTGTGCCAGAAGAGGGATGGGCTGAGGATACTCTTAAGTGAGACTTGTAGAAGGTTTCATGTATTTGAAGTTTCAGATAATAGCTTTAAGTTAGATCTACTTTTGGGTGGGGTAAGGAACTTCCCGATTTTTTTTTTCTCTGCTGGTTTTTAAATCCAGAAGGTAGACAGAGATAGCATTTGGAATGTCTGTATTCTGTGAAGATCTTAAGAGCTAAAATCCCTGCCACACCCCCGTGCTCAGCACCACTCAACAGTTCCCTTGAGAATCACTCCTGCTTGCTCACTTCCTTATAGATCCTCATACAGCTGCCACTTCCAGAGAACAACAGTCTTAGAAGCTGAAGCATTTCGACACATTTTCATTTCAGTCAAGGGCAGCTCCTCCTATAGTGTCCTGAGATTACAGTGTCCTGAGGAAAGACGTAGTTGAGGCCAAATGAGCTGGGTTCTGATTTGTCCTGTTTTCTAGTGGTAAAGACCCTAAGCAACTTACTTTAATTGGGAGTTTGCAGACTGGAGGTCTGTTGCAGAATTTTCCATGTTGGCATGGCCGACATAGGGTTTATAAAATTTTCATTAGTTACAAATATGTAAAACTCAGGATTTTGGCACAAGTCCAGATCTCTGACTTCTCTGGAAAAAATCAGAAAATCTGGCTGTACTGGGCCTGAATTCCTGCTTAGCAACAGTTGGTTTGTACTGCTTACTCATTAGATAGGGCAGTACCTCTTGTTTAATTAATTAATTTAGGGTTTTGGAGACAGGTTGGCCCGGTTTTCGAGATTCTCCTACCTCACCCCCCAAGTGCTGGAGTTACCCATCTGTGCCACTGTGCCCAGTTTTCGTGCCTCTATTTTAATCATTTACTTGGCCTCAAGTTTGCAAATTTGACTTTGAGCCTATGTTTCTTCATCCACAAGGCTAAGCTCATGGGTACCTCAAGTGACTGCTTGTTTTGCCTTATTCTATTCATGCATTTTTCTGGGCTGCTTAGACTGGCAGAAAGAACCCACCTAGCCTCCATGGAGGAAGCTATTCTCCAGTACTAGGAACAGATTCTGTGACTCCTCTAAGAATGTCTGTTACTTGCTGACTTTAACTGAGGTGGAAAAGTTGGCTAATATAGGTTCCTCTGTGCTCTTGCAGTCTTCTCCCTAGCCTTGGCACCAACTATTTGGCTAAGAAGAATCTAGTGTTATCAGAGTTGGTAGAAGAACACATCTCTGGGGGTGGGGGTGTAGCTCAGTGGCAGAGCAAGTGGGCACCAAAAACCAAACCAAACAAAACCCCAGCTCCATTATCTGGGAGGCAAGAATTGGATCCAGAGTTAGGTCTTGCTTTGGCCTTGGACTAAGTGGCCTTCGCCACCCATGAAGCAGTGCCAACCAGTCCTTGTCACTTTCTCCTTTCTTCCTGAGTGGAATGGAGGCCCTGTTCCTAGTCTTTAAGGAGGTAGGCTCTGTGCCATTCTTTCCTGAGGGCTCCTCAAAGTGCTGTGGAGTGGTATTTCATACCTGTTGTGCTTCCCTTGAATCCAGGGAGGGTGGCCCCACACCTCTCCAACCCATGCCACATCGGAAATCTCTCCTAGAGAAGGAGGGTTGTGGCAGCTCTTGTTCTTTCTCCTGGAGGGGGAAGGACCAGTTGCCATTCTCTCATTTCTTGCTTGTCCCTACCTATCTGCCCTAGCAGTGACAAAGTAGGGGTTACCTCAGAAGCTTCTCCAAGGCTGGCAGGATCATTGCTTCATAGCAGAAAGTGCAAGCAGAGTAAAATTACAGAGTATACTCATCGCTTCCCTTGATTTTTCCTCTCAAAGCTTTTGTGGGTGGTGGAAAGGGAAGGGTGGGGCATGAGTGGGGTTCCTAGTGAGGGAGGAAGGCATCAGAGTGTCCTCTGGGTGGCACACTCCATTACCTTTAGACACAAAGATGGAACCTGAGGGAGATGAATTCTTGGCCTCTGAACCTAGGGGTCAATTTACATTCCTGTCTCAGTTGCTGAGGCTTATCCTAAGAAACCAGTCATTCTGCAAAGACTGTGGGAAATTCCCAAATTGAACTTCCCAGGAGAAACATCAGATGACATTGGGGATGTGGCTGACAGTGGTCTTTCCTAATAAGTTCATTGAGAGGAAAAGTGGGCGGATGATTTCCTAGTACTGAGTCTCAGGAGCTCCTAAGACGGCTGGTCTGCACTGGTTGAAACCCGCTTTCTAGCCCACCAGTTTGATTTCTGAATGCCTTGTGATCATTAGTGTTCTTGGTTTAAAACAACACACACACACACACACACACACACACACACACACACACACACACACACAGAGCTTTGCTGTGCTTGTTAGTCTTGACTTCAAGATCTTCTGGATTTTTCTTTTCCCCCCCACCTCTTGACTGTGCTAGGCTTGGGGAAAAAACTTGCAGTTTACTATGCCTTCCCTGCTGGAAACTTCCCCACAGCCACCCTCCCACCCTTCCCTAATGTTTCTCCAGCAAGCCCAGCGCCCACTGAACAGTGTAAATTAATGCCTAGTAATTGGTACAAAGGCACTTTCTGTTTCTATGCAACACACTCAAAAAGGAAAGGCAAAAAGAAGGTGGGGTGAGGGGGAAGACCCACTGATGATTAAAAAAGGGAAAAATGAGATCCTCAGTCAGTGGTCTTGGAGAATCCTGGCTCTGAGTCCGACCCACCTTTTGTTGGAAGTTAGTCACAGGCCTAGGCCTACCTTGGAGCAGTTAGTGGTAGCACTTGTCAATATCAAATAAAGAACTTGGAGGTTGGAAGCAACCTTGAGAGGTCATCTCATCCATGAATTTGTCTATAAAAAGCTGGTGCCCACCCTCTTGGAAAGATGGGGATTGTTCCAAGTAAGCACTTGGGGGGATATGGGAGGTTTGAAAGCATACTGCCAGGACTCAAAAGTTACCTGTCTGCTGTGACTAGCATGTGACATTGGGCCTATTTCCTCAGTAGCACAGTGGGATTCAGGCACCCCAAAGGGGTTTTCAACTGAAAATGCCAAGGCCTCTAGCTTCCAGCAGGGTTCTGTGG